TACCTGTTCTTGAGCTCTGTTTTTCCTTCACTGACCCATCTTTTCCTCTGCTTGTTTCTCTGACTCACATGTTTCCACTGTCCATTTTCTTCGCCCAGCAGTCCCCCCTCTGAGGCCCTTGATCCTGCTTCCATCTGCGTATCTAAGCTTTCCCCTTCAGCCACGTCATGCCTTTGCCCCATCAGCTGCTCAAACCCCCTTCTAAACTCGACCAGAGTTTCCACCTACATCTCCAGTCCTCGGATCTTTTCTTCCATCAGCTCTATCAGGCGGCACTTCATGCAAACAAAACTCCTTTCAGGTACCCCCTCCAGAATCATGTACATACCGCAGCTACCACATCCAGTCATCCTCCTTGTGTTCTCTACTACTTGGGCCATGGCCACTAATGCCTCTGTGTTTTATCTACTTTCTCACCAAAATCCTATTAGTCCGGTGAACACAAAAACAAACCAAAACACCCCCTCCACAGCAAAAACAAACTCCAAACAAGTCCCACAATCCAAACTCCCTTTACAAACTCCCACTCAAACTCCCCTGTTTACAGCTCTGTTTGCTTGGCTCCTGTGCCGCTGCAGTTATCTTCCAATCACATTCAATCCAAGCTGGATAACTAAGCAATTTATCGAAGAAGAAATACTTGATGATCTCCATTTGCAGAGGAGGATGTAGGGATGGGGATTTCTATCTGGAAACACTGATGAATTGCTTCCAGGTTTACCACTCAGTTTGGTGACATTTCAGTTCTTCTGTTTCTCATGGCAAATATAGCATGTCTAGACTACATGGAAGAGTCGAAAGAGAATATGCAAATTCAGTGGGAATTTGCATATCTTCTTCCGAAGAACTTTCGAAAGTGAAAGTAGTTGGGATGCGGCTTTTTCATCAAAGCCTCCTTTTTCGAAAAGCCATGTAAATCTAATTTTTTAAAGAAGAGTGGCTTTTCAAAAAGGGGAGGAGGTTGCTGAAAAAGCCACATCCCGACTACTTTCACTTTCGAAAGCTCTGCTCTCAAAAGTGAGATCAGAAGAAGATATGCAAATTCCCCAGAATTTGCATATCCTCTTTCGAATCTTCTGCGTAGTCTAGATGAGCCCTACGTGTTTTTTTTGCAGCACAAAAACGCCTCAGGTAACTGTTACACTTCTAAAATATCTTGCTGTCTGACAGTGCTCATATCTGAATTTTTAAGGTTAAGTACAAAGATTATTAAAGTAACCCAACAACTACCTTGGTAGTAAACTTGTGATCCATATGTGAAATGTTCTGTCTTGTGCAGTGTTGTCTTGTCTTGTCTCTTGTTTTCATAGTGCATGAAAAAATTTAGAGCTTAGACATACTACTAATGGAAGAATGTAGTATCTAAACCTATTTTAAGCTCTTATTATCACAAGGAGTTTTCAAAAATAAATTTAGAGTAAGAAGTTTCTAAACTGTTCAGAGTAAATGCTGCATTGGTATAAAGTTGTGTTGATGACAATCTGAATAAAATGTATATTTAAGCGAAAAGAGAGAAAAATATCTTTAATAATGTACCAGTTAAACATTCTGCATTTGTTACATAGTACATTTATATTGTTTCTGAAAGATGAAAGATGAGTCATTGGTACAAGATGATTAAAGTTTTAGGAGAAGTTGTTGAAGGAACTAGAGCATCCTATGAATTTAACAGCATCTGCTTCCCTGATGTTCCATTTGTTCTTTCACCCTCATCCCCACGTCATTCTCCTTGTTACATTTCTCCCACGTCAAATGAGTTGCTTTATCCTCTGCTTTAATTTGACATGGTATGGCAGGCATCTCACATTTTCTTTTGTTTCAGCCTATGGTACTGCTAGGGATGTGCAACAGGAATAGACTTGGACTGTAAGCTGTTAGTTTCAATCTGCTGTTGAGACAGTGTCATGTGCAGGAGCGTAGTTGCTTCACCACCATCACCACCAGAATGGCCTCAAGGCTTGCTACAAGCAAACAGGGCCAATGGTAGAAAGGCAGAGTGTGGCCTACTAGCATACTAGTGCAGTATCAGAGCTGGGAGGAAACATATCACCTTGCGGTTTGGGATCACTAAGAGCCAGGAATAGCGCCCAAACAAAGCTGAGATAAGGAGTGGCTTTGTGTTGCTGTCTGATGACAGAGCAGCACTGATGAGTTCTAAGGAAAGCTGAGTGTGACGGCACTCCTTTGGATGGAAGGTCTCAACTGTGTGATCTGTTTGGAAGGCAAGCAAATTAAGAGGTTAAAAAACCCCCAAAAAGCCACCTCTCTTTTCTCCTGCCCCCTGCAACAACCTAAGCCATGTCAAAAAGAAAAAAGGCTTATGAGAGAATTATTTTATTAATTAAATGATGAAAGGGCAGTGTAAACAAAATTGAGGAAAATCTAGGTGTCAGAGAGAATGACTGGGAAGGAGGAAGACTCTCTTTTTAATTGGCTTGATTGTTGATAGAAAATGAGAAATACTTTCAGTCCTTTTTCTTCTTGTAAAATTTTGGAAGCCATCTATACACCCTTCCCAGCCTCCATAAGAATGAGTGTTTGAAGGAGAATGCCACTATCACAGGAGATTAAATTAGCCGCTTGCAAGCAATGAGAATTTGGTTGAATTTTGACTCTGATCATCTGAAAAAATGTAACTGGTATAGGTATTTAGTACAATTTTAACTGATACGCTAATTTATTTTTTCTTTTAACAAATATTTTAACTTCAGAATGTGTCTTAATAATTTAAAAGAACTGAAAAGAATCTTTCCCAAAACTTTTGATTTCCTGAAAATAGAATAGAAGAAGTTAGTCAGATTTTGTTGTCCGTGTCCATGACTGACTGCATTATGGTTGTGGGGAGTTCTTCTGGGTTCCCTTGTGTGTGTTTTTTTTTTTTTTTTTAAGGCCAAGATTTTCAAACTTGGGTGCTTAAGGTTGGACAGTTTTATCCACTTTAGGTATATTTGATCTCATTTCTTGTGTTAAGAGGTATTGAGTATCCACAAATTTCATGGATTTACTTTAGGCACCCAACTTGATCTTGGTGTATAAAAAGTGTATATAATTTCTGCAATTCTAGTATTTTACTGTCATCTCTACAGACATTGGGCTAGGAAGTGATTCCGTATGTGCACGACCCTCATCTCATCGGATAAAATCATTTGATTCCCTTGGATCCCAGTCTTTGCACAGTAGAACTTCAAAACTCTTTCAGGGACAGTATCGAAGTTTGGTAAGTTCTGTTGGAATTTAATCATATTCAAGATTCCCCCCCCCCCGTCAATATATATTAAAATAGTGTTGCAAGTCAAGATGGGTGAATCGAATTTCACAGATCTTTGACTGTTCTCTTGCTTATCTATAATTGGGACCTCTGAAGTTCTGCTGTGTTGCAGTGGCTTTTTTTTTCTTTCTCTTCTGAGATTTCCTCTGCCAGAAATATTTCTGTTATAACAATAAGTACTTCTCGTTGCATGCATGCATACATTTTTCTTTGATTTCTTTTCTTTTTTTAAATAAAGAAGCACCTCTCAAAAGGACAATTTTTCCATCTCCTCCAATGGGACTGTGCCATCCCAACTCTCCAGGATTTCCCAGGGCAGAGCCTCGTCTAAAGTTTTGCTTACACAGTTTTAGAGGAGACATTTGGAAGATTTTCCAGCCACTTGACAGTTTTGGCAACAAACAAGTTGATGTAACACAGATTCTTTGACACAACCTCACAAGAGTCTACTGCCCAATTGAATCACATAGTTAACAGACTTTTGACTTTACTGGATAGACAGAGACAAGAGACTGCTACCCCCAGCACCATCCTCAAACAGCTTCTTCAGGTTGAACCTCTCTAGTCCAGCACACTCTGGTCTGGCAACATCCATGGTCCGGCATGATTTCAGTTAGCCAAATGTTCACTTACCATGGGTGTGGCTAGGGATGTAAGAGACTAGTCGATTACCCGATAAACCTAGGTTTATTGAGGTAGTTGAATCACTACTCGACTTGTTTCCCCCCTCCCAGTATCTGTGCCTTGCTGTATCAGAGGCAGCAACAGGAGGTGGGGGGTGGGGAAGAGCAGGAGCCATCTTAAAAGCCAGTTCCCCCCCCACACCATCTCTGCGGGGAGGCAGAGGTGCAGCGGGGAAGTGGTGCGAGTGGGGACTTAAGCAGTCCCTGCTCGTGCTGGGTCCTGACTGCTGTGCCTCCGCCTTTTAAATGTAGTAAGTGCTGTGGGCATCTCTTATTACATTTAAAAAGCAGAGGCACAGCGAGCATAGTGAGCGCCGTCTCCTCTCTTATCGACTAATTTAATAGTTGATGGAAATTTCATCGACTACTCAATTAGATAAATTTTTATTAATCAACATTCTTAGATGTGGCCAAGTTTTTTGCAGTCCCATAAAGTTTGTTTACAGCCTCTAGTCCTGACCCTCAATATTCTGTGCTGTTATGTAGCTGTAACTTACCCCTAAATTTTTTCTAAGCGTCCAGCAAGCAGTGGAAGGGATGCTAATGGCATGATTTTTATTATTTATCTACTTATTTTTTGTGCCAGTGCAATAAAATTGTGTAACAACACTAATACTTGGTTATGAAGAGAGCTGATAAGCCTTGGCTAGGCATAGGCTAAATCAAGGTGTATCAGTATAGTCCTAAATTATTAAGCAGCATTGCAAGTATTGTTCCATTTATTCACCTCAGTGAAATAAAAATAAGAGACCCACTCGCCACAATACTGACCGCTCATGCCATAGTTTGGAAGCTGTCAGGTCCCAAGGGCGCCAGACTAGAGAGGTTCAACCTGTTGTTCCTTCTTATTCCCAAAATATGCTGGCCCCAGCCCCAGATGTATCTAACTTCTCATCCACAGGATCATACTAAAACCAAAAGGATATATGAAAATGAACACTTGAGACATTTATTAACAATTAAGTCGTCATAACAATAGCATGTATATTAAAAATGCAACTTTAATTGCAAGTTTCCACTGCAAGCAAAACTCTTCATTTTAGGAATGTTTTTCTGGCTTTGTCGTGTGCAAACTCATTTGTAATTGAAGAAAAAACTTATTTACGTGCAACAACAGTGCTAGTGGTAAGCATTGCAAGCCCATTCAAATGCTTTTGTCCCATTATAGTACGATGATAATTCACTTGTTTTAACACACTGAATGTGCATTCACCTGAAGACGCTGGTTCAGGAGGACTGACACAAATACATAATGTTATTGTGATATTAGGAAATGCAGTCGACTGGCTGAAATCAAATATTTCTCGAAGCAGTCCAATTTAAAGTTGGTGGAGTGTCTACAGAGCTCTCTTAAAATTTCATTGTTGTACCTTCGTTGAAACTGTTCAACCACTGAATATAGATCTTCATCACATAGTCCTCTGAACTCCCAAAGGAATCCAAAAAGTGTACAAATTAGTCACAATGACTCAAATTGACGTGTAAGACCAGATTTGATGGAATCAATAATAACTACAACAAAGTATTGGTGCAATAGTGCCTTTCTGTATGAGATGGAGATGTTAGGCTGTGTTTGGTGGAAAACTCAGATGAATTGTCAATACCCTGTGCTGCTGATTTGGACTCAGAAAAGATAGTATCCCATTCATCATGAATCTTTTCAATATCTTTAAGAAGTCATTCAATGTTATCCCTGATCATCAAATGTAACATTGCGTACTTCAATTACAAGATTAGTTTTGTGGATTATTTTTAGCAGCTTCATCCACATACATGGCATTAAAATGCATTCAAATTTGGATGTATACTTCCGAATTGACTTAAGCTCAGTGCGAACCTTTGCTGTGAAAGTAAGAGATTCAAGCTCACTTAAAGCTTTTCTCAGGGTTCAAATGCTGTGCAACGGGTTTAATGCTATCAATTCATGCTGACGATCTTGTTGACATGCCATGAAGGGAAACAGGTAGCAGTTGCTGCTTTAGAATTTCCCACTTTCGAGGACTGCTTGCTAGATTGTTCCAAAGTATGTGATTGCTTCCTTGTATGATTCAGCACAATCAATGCTGATAACATATGTTGTGTGGTTGCCACAACTGGAGAAAATACAGTTTGGATTTTGCTCAATGACTACTTGTACTCTGTTGTACTTCCCAGCCATATTGGATCCATTGTCACAGGCTTGGCCAATGGAGACTTGAAAATTTATTTTGAATTTATAATACAGGAGTGACAATTTCTTTTCCAGTTTTTTTTCATGAAATTATTGAACAAAATGAATCATTCTTCAATTCAAATCTTTGAACTTTCTGCAGTTTTAACATATCTAACAACCAAGGTCATCTGTTCTTTGAGAACAGTCTGGAGCTGCATCAGTAATAATCAAAAAGTATTTTGCATGTCGAATCTCTTCAAGAATTGTTTCCACAAATGTCCCACACAGTTCAATAAACTCATTTTGTATTCTGGTAGACTGATAATGGACTTGCATGCATTTTCTTCTCTCTTGTGATTCACAAACACACTTAATATGGCCTGATAAAAGTAGGTCATACTTGCTAAGAAAGTTTCCATTTGTAGGGTCACCGATACATTGTCTGGAACCAAACAAAGCCAGTCTCCGTTCCGAAAGGAGAAAAATGACATTCAGTATGTGCTCAAGGAGTTTTTTCCATTTATCAGTTTCTGTGTTTATTTCACTCGCATAAGTTTTCAATTGAACTATCAGCTAGTGCTGCTGTACTAGCTGATTTCCCTGTCACATAGTTACCATTATGCGATACTGAAGTTTCATGTGCAGGTATTCAGTCTTTCAACTTCCTCCAACCGCTACTGATGCTCCAATCAGGTGGATCAGACAATACTGATGCATTTGAAGTATTACTGTTAACAATGAAATAGGGTTCACAGTAAAGAGCCTGCTTTTCTATGCTCCAGCAGAGCCAGTCTCTTGTGTAGATATCTCCATTTGGAAGAGTTTTTGTCAGCCGACAATGGGGAAAAGCATGATTTTCAGCATCTTTCGGTATATTACTTGGATCTGAAAACTAACTTTGAGAAACGACTGCATTGTTGAGGTCCTCGTTTTCTGCCTGAATAGTCTCTAAATTTAGCATAGATTCTGAATCAATCGCTACTGTTAGCATTTCTGTGTCTTAATAGCTCCTCATTTTGAAGCAGTCACATTGACATGTCATTTGTGGGTACAAAGTTTTCATCATCAGAACTGGAAGTGTCACTGTCAGTATGGCCACCGTCTAATAGCTGAGAAATGATGTTGTTGGCTTTAAACTCTTAACTGTTGCTCAACTCTTTTGCTTTCTCCATCTGTTACTTGAACCACTTTCAAATCTTCACTTCATTTTTATAAAGGGGTTCTTTTAAACACGGAAACACGCAATAAGTTAATTCACTAAAGGCTGCTGGTTTATACAAAATTTTAATTGTATATACTTTTCAATGAATATTATATGATAATGGTATGGGGGTGGTGTTTACTACGGCCCTAATAGTCTTATGTCAAAGTCTTGACATTTCGTCTGCTAACCTGTTCCCATGATTAAATTCCTCATATAACTGGAGCATTATTATGAATACAAAAATTGGACGATTGGCAGATTAGATATAAAGTTTATTAAACAACTAGAATGAAAAGTTTATTATCTCAAAGAGGCCTTTACAGGTGAATCTAAAACTGGATGAAGAGGTAGCTTGCAGCTGAGCCTGATATGGTTATTGTATACGAAGACACCTAAGACAAAAACAGGAATATGAACATTTCCTATGCAGAGATAAACATCTAATTTAAATGTTAAACTCACCCTCAGGCCAAGCAAAATCACTTTACAGTAACAGAATTAATTATGACTTTCAAAACCTCTAAACTGTGCAGAGACTGTAAACAGCGTTTCATAATGTAGAATCACTAATTACAAAATCTACTCCAGTCACACAGATGAAAACTCGAATGTGACTGAAAAGTTGGCGAAGGCCTGAGGTCCCACAATGTCTTAAATCAATTTTTTGCATGTATGTATATATAGTTTGTTGTAACTGCTAGGTGTATAATTATGTCAAAATTTGAGGTCCCTTTGTCTCCTGAGGCCTGAGCGCTTGGCAATCCAAGATATACCCAAATAATCCTTTGTCTATTGTAAAGTAGGACATGTTCCTGTTCTTGGTTCTATTTTGTAGACTTCCTCTACTGTAGATTTTGTAATCTCTTATTGAGTGTGCAAATGGGCATACTGAGAGTAAAGTGCTTGATGC